ACGTGATTTGTTTGTTTTCGTGCTCTTTTAAATAGATATTGTTCTCGTTGACCATGCATAAGTATATGTATATATATATATATATATGTATGTGTGTGTATGTATGTATATATATATGTATATATACATATATGTGTATGTTTTCCAATCAACAAAAATCATCTAAGCAAAACTCTCTACTTAATATATGTATATGATTTAGACTTGTTTTATGAATTGGACTATCTATAAAGAGAGGTTCTTTCGCACCTTTAAGACCTCACTTTCCACATTAAAAAACGTTACTTTTGGGGGCATAAATTCTTTTTTCTTGAAGTATGAAAAAAGTGATACAATTAAAAAGAATGCACTTTAAATCAAAACTTCACCCAAACTTTATTTTTATTTTCTTTTTATTCATTCATTATGCAATCCAAAATTGTATCAATAGACAAGAACCCAAACACCACAAATACTCATGATTCTTGGGATCATTCCTCATAAAAAAAATATATGGATTATATAAGTAATTAATTGGTTTAAGATGACATCAACCATTCCACTCCTAATTGGAACATTTCTTGCTTATATTATAAAAATAACTACACACTAATTAATTATAGAATCCCTTAACACTCTGTTTGGAAGGTTCGCATGCATGTAGCTCAAGACAAAGAATCTTCTTGGCACAAAAATTAATAAACTTTATAAATATATAATAACATCACTTTTTTCAAAGACGACATTAGGTATATAAAAAAAAAGAGAGTATAACGTCAACCGTTGCTAGCAAAATCAAATACTTCAAATAGTTATCTTGTTCTATTTGTTTTTAGCACGGTTTAGATATGTTTTATCGTTTGACAATAATAAACTAGCTTATTTTCTATACGTTTGATAAGTTACAAATTAGCTTATTTTTCAAAAAGTAGTTTCTATATAGTTTTTAATGAATTTTAGGAACTTTTATTTATTTATTTTTCTAATTATACCCATCATGGATCGACTAAAAAAATTCAGTTAAGGTAATTTAATTTATATCGTCATTTATTCTATTAGTTGATAGTTAATTTATTAATTAATAATTGGTTTTATCAAACATAAATTTTTATTAAAATGATATATATATGATGTGTATAAAAAAACTTAAAACATAATTTTATCATTGATCAAAGCATGGTTTTAAGGCCGGAAAAGATAGATTTTTTAATGCACATATCATTTGTCTTGTAATAATATATTTTAAAATGTTTGTATCTACGACAAATAAAATAAAATACAATATAAAAATAAAAATAAACAAATAAAAACTTGTTAAATAATATATAGAATACAAGTGAAGTGTGGCCTCGTGAGCAGTAGCATAAATAGTGGCTCAAATCATGCTGCTTTGTCTCCATGAATATTTTGAAATTAATAAATCTCAAATATTATATTTAACCCATAATTAAAGAAATTCATTGATAAAACAAATAAATATATTTGAAAATGATTTATCAGAAAATGAAGGCGTGCAAATCCAGCAAGACGGACATTTTTCCTAAAAGACGATTCCTTTTTTCACATTCTAACCATTTAAAATTCCTAAAAGATTTGCCATTTTTCATCTTCAAGATGGATGTTCATGTTCCCCTACCTACAAGATACAAGATTTGCATGCACGAATCGGTTTTCAAGAGTCTTGATCGTCGATGAATCTATTATATGATCGAATAATGCAAATTAAATGTACAAATACAATACGATGTCGATATCCCATGATGTTTCTTGAAGGATCGAATTGATCGAACTACCATACAACGTAAAGAAATTATATCTGTATGATGGAAATGCAGCACCAGAAAAGTTTGTGGGTAGGATATGGGTAACAACAAGTGCTTGAAATGGATAAATCTTGATATCAAAGACTAAGTTTCATACAGATTTAATTACAGAATAAGTATGTATAGTATACATAAAGAGAGAGACTTGTGGTATTTTGGTTTTTAGGATATGGAGTTTGGACCACCAAACTACCAGCAAGCAGCTTATTTTGTTATTTGTGACATTCTTCTGCATCCACACAAAATTATGCATCAACTTGTTGTTCTTTTCCTGCAAAATTTTGCCCTTTCTCGTTCATATCCGTTCAGCCAGGAGGGCTTGAGTGTGATACACAAATTATACCCTACACGTTCAGCTAAAATATCTGCTACCAATTTCAAATCTTTATGTCAATATATACAACATATTAATTTGTTAATTTCTGCTTTCATACCCTAACAACAATTTGCATTTTATATCTTTAATGTTGGTACTGTTGGTGATTTGTATTACTAATATCATTTAAGTGTAATGGGATTAATTTGTTGATTAATGTAATCATGATAAATATCGAACAAGTAAGGAAGGTACATAATGCACATTTGTTTGAGTTTATTATGATTCGTCCCTAAACGACGGGGGTCCAAGGGGCAGAGCCCCTGGCTGGGTTCGAACATATTAGTTTGTTTTCTGCTTTGTGAAAAATGCTTCAAAAATCTGAATTTAAAATTTTAAACCCGGTTTTTTAAACCCAGTTTAGGGTTTTGAAAATACCGTTTGACAATTTTCGAATTGATTTTTTGTATTGGTCATTTGATTTTCGAGGGTACACAGATTCATAACAATTGATTCTCTATTCGAAAACCACTGAATTTTATCCGATTGAAATTTCGATTCTCCATCGAAATACTTCAATCTGAAAGTGTTACACGACTTTCAGTGGAATCCAAGCAATTAAAAACTAGAATTTCTAACACGTATCAGGTTTCAAGAAAAAAATAGGAGCAAAAAGATAAATTTAGATCTAAAGCTTTTCAAGAAAATGTTGCATCTTTAATGGCGTATTTCATAACAAAAAGGGTTTGCTTATCCAGAAAATCTTGAAGGCCCACACCTTTGCATATGCTGACTCACCAACTTGATAATAAGATTTCATCAGTCGTTAACAAATTAATAGTAATTATGTTTACTAAAAATCTGATGGGAACAATATGATAGTGATGGCAGGAAGATGCTCAAACTATGAAGAAAGATTACAAATGGGATGTTTGTGAAAAGACTTTTTATTCATTTAATATCTAAAATACCCAAAAACAAAATATTAATTGTGCATCAAATAAAATCAATAATATTGTTGTTATTGTTTTTTTTGAATCATTATGTAACCTGGTGAGGTGTGCATGAGACAATATTGTTGTTGATTGATGTAGAGTTTTGAGTTTATACATACATACATATACATATACATACATATACATATACGTACATATATATATATATATTTGAAGCAGGTGGTTATGACAAATGAAGATGGCACAAAATACCCAAAGAGATTAGAAGCAGTTGTGCACAAAAACTAAGATCCAGCATCAGATATGATATCCATGACTGCAGTTAATTTGTTTAAATATATCGATGATGATGATGATGATTTCCTTCTGAGGAATCCATGCAGGAGATTGCAAGAATATGAGTGCAAGGCAAAGCCAAAAATCCTATTCAGAATTGTTGCCATCATATGATAATGACCCTCTCCTTTTTGAATCAATAAACAACCGCCAAACTTAGTTACTATTAATAAACCCCATTTACATTAAACATGCATATGTATATACATATACATATACATGTATATACACATATACATATAAATATATATGTATATATGATCAAAGTAGACATTCTTATGTTATACATAATTGGGCATTCATGTGGTTTTTTTTTGTATTTATTTACAAATATTGGGTGCGTTAATAAAGTAACATTTGAATATAGGTTGACGGATACCATATATGACCTATAATTAATATATATATATATATATATATATATATATATAAAGGTTGAAATAATTGATGATAACATGGACCCCGCAGTGTATATATATATATATATATATATATATATATAGGTAGTTTCAAATAGAAACCATGTAATTTTTAGAAGGCATATATATAAATCATTAGATTAGGAAACAAATGAAATATCTATGAACAATTATCATGATTCATTAATTATAATTGAGATCATGAAAGATGATAAGGTTCATTTATTATGAACATGGTTTTGTATTAGGAAACTAAATAAAATAAGATATTAAATTAGATGAATGACTAAGATTGGCTTATAAAATTTGTTAGAATTGCATGGTTTATAAATGAAATGTTACCTATATATATAATATATATGTTTTTGTGTGTGTATATACATATATATATATATATATATATTATGATACAAGGGTAGGATGAGAGTTAAGAAGACAGATTTATTTTTCATCCATCTGTTAATGACTGAATAATTATTGAATTGGTATTATTAATTATCCAAAACAACCCTGTCTGGAATTCAGCACTTGTCATTGATGGCAGAATGCCGTTGAAGCCAAGCCTCCCTTTTTACTCCTAATAATAATAATAATTATTATTATTATCATTATCATTATTTTTATGTGGATTTAAAACATAGAAAATTAACATCATCATACATATAATTAAATTAATTCAGAGCAACGTTGATATTTCAGTGGGAGCAGTACAGATGTTGTACCACATGCAGCGACTAGTTGGACTTCTCTTTTTGCAACCCTTTTTTACAAATTATATGTCTTTTTTGCTTTTTGGCCAGATTTTATGCTTCACCCTAACCCATGCCTTTTTATTTATTTATAAAGCAATGCATTCACAACTTGTACGGTACCATCTTCTCATGCATATTTTTATTTCACATTTCCCTCATAATTTAATTTACAACCAACCAATGTTGTTTTATTGAATAAACACAATTTCTTTTCTTTTTTCTACTTTGAAAAAATATATTTTATCTGAAAACAAATGCTTTTTGTTAGCTTAACAAAATATTTAACTAATAATTAAATAATAATAATAATAATAATAATAAAATGTGAAAACTTTGATAAAGACTTGTCAATATTTTGGTTGAAAAAGATTTAATTTAAGTTACAGCACTATTCATCGACACACATAACACACAATAATGGTGAAAGTTAGAGATAAATCTCACTATCATTACTAAAATTAGTGGATATACATCTTTCCATAAATAGAAATTAATCAGCTTTTGATGAAGAAGCATCATCTGAGAGTACTACTGCTTTCTGGGCACTGCTATGATCTTCATCATCTCCATGGTCATCGTCATCGTCATCTTCTTCTTCCAATGAACAAGATGACAAACAATGGCTGGTACTTGAACAAGTCCCGGAAGAAGATGCTGATGATGATGTGAATGAAAGAGCAGATTCTGGGGATTCACTACTAATCATATTCTTATTATTACTACCAGATCCCATTATTAATGAAGATTGATCCTGACCGTTCATTGACGACGATGAACAACATGATGATGATGATGATGAGGATGAACCTAGATTGACCAACACCAAGTCAACAAAAGCTCCAATAATATAACCATGGTTGATCTTCTCATTCACTGCTAGATACCAACTCAAAAGCTCTTGAAGATTCTCCCACTCTTTTAACCCTTCATCAGCTTCCACCATTTCTTGCATTGACTTCTTGAAGTCAATAAATGGATCACTTGACTCAATCTCCATCATTGACACACTACTTTCTTTCAATGGCAAAACACCATCTCCCTTTTCTTCTTCTTTTTCCTTTTCTTTTGGCTTTGCTTCTTCTAGAATGGAGCTTGTTTTCTCCGGCTTGAAAAAGAACCTATCTGAACTTAACCCTCGAATCACAGACTCTATCGATGACAGCTGATCTTCTTCCTCGCCGGAGATGGCAGCCATGTCGTGAAGGTCGTCGGAGATGGCGGCACGGAAAGAGAGGGTTCTACTAGGGCTGCCACAAGTAGGAAAAAATGGGAGCTTTCTTACCATTCTTGATGGTTTTTGAATTACAAGTTTGAAAAGTAGAAGAATATGATGTTGATTTTGAATATGAATATGAATATGAAAGTAGGAAGGGGTTATTAATGTTGCAGATTGATGTTAAATAGATGGTCAGATGGGAATTAAATGAGGAGGGAGAAGAAGGTGTTTTTAAAAAAATAAAAGGAGTGGTGACTGGTGAGGGAAGTTAGGATCAACAACAGTAGGTTGTTGGCGGGGTCTTGTTTATATTTATGGGTTCCTTTTTGTTCATTTTGGAGTAATTACAACTAAGACACGTATCTTTGGGTTTTGTTGGTTTAAGTCCCTGTTGTTTCAACGTGCTTGACAAATCTAAATCATCATTAATCTCTAACTTATATGATGATGGACTATCTAAGAACAAGTTAACTCGAAACAAAACATGATGGACTTTTAGGATGCTTCAGTAAAGATTGTCGATATAGTTTTTCCGGGCTTAACAAACATAAGAAAACATCATGCAAGTAATTTTAGAGTTTAAGGGTCGTTTACCAACAAAATTTAGTAAATGTTAACCAGGTAAGAGTTTTGTCTAGGTAAGCACTGACCAAGTGGAGAGCCTTTCCTCAATTCCTTATTTAACTAGCATTTCGGTTAGCGTCCTTGTTCGTCAAAATGTTTAGTATTTAAACAACCTCACATCTTACAAGGCAAATACATTTGTCTTATCTAGTAAGAGATGATTAGCAATTGATAAACAACCCTAAAGACTACAAAAAAAAAGTCTATCATAAAATGTGCATGGTATGTAGGTGGCAACTTATATAGGAGTCCTTCACAACACCCATGTATAGCAATCGTTATAGATCAGTGTTTATTAAACATGTATTTACTTACAAAGTAGTTTCACTCGAAGTTTGTTTTACACTCTCCCCAGACTTAGAGAGTGAGAAAAGTCAAAGATCACATAAGAAGATCATAACTTAATCTTAATATTGTTGGTTATAATCTATAGCATTTTTCTTGGAATTATTAATAATTTTGTTTAAGTATTGTCACGACCCGCTAAGAGGTTCTATGGAAATTCAGAACATTCTAGATAAATCAAGAAAATGGAGGAACCTTGCATAATGATCAAGAAGGAACAAAGAATGGAGCACCATAAAATATTGGAAGGATGAGTGGGTTTTGGACTTACAATTCTTGGAAGAGGCAAAAGACCTTAACCTCAGTGATGATCGCAAGGAAGAGAAGAGGCATGAGGACTCAAAATGAAACAATGCTACACAAGAATTTCAAGAGTTTAGATGTTGGAGCAAATAGCCACAAGGGAAAGAGTCCCAAGCGAAGGTGAAGGTGAAGGAACAAAGGAAGAGGTTCACTTGAACGAATAAATGATGACACATAAAGACTGAGGAGCTAAGATAGCACTACTAAATGAGATCGTAGGTACCCAACTAAGGTGTATCAAGGATGCAACGAGGGCGTTGTGAGATTAGTTGGGGAGGATGTCATGTCCTGCTAAGAGCACCTATGAAAATCTGGAACATGATAAATCAAGAATGGAGGAATCTTGAAAAATGATCAAGAAGGGACAAGCAAATATTAAGAGGGGTCAAACATATTTAGGAAAGATCCATACATATCTAGTTCTTGTGTAGTTAAAAGCTTCCTTGTAAATATCTAAATATAGTATCTAGATAGCTCCATGGACTAATATAAGTAGAGGGAGTCTTTCATATGTAAAGCATACTCCATATTTTCACAACTTGAATAATAGAATCCTAGAGTTCTCTTAATCCTCTTAGCATTCTTGTTTGATCATCACTGTTCGGTATTCTTGTAGTTTGACTAACTTAGTTCAAGAACTAAGGCTGCATGAGAGTTTGTGAAGACTATTTCCTGACACTTTCCTTGATTCCTTGTTTAAGTAGCATCTACGTTAGTATCACTTCTTCGTAGAAATGCATTGTAATTAAACAGCCTCACCTCTTACCAGGGCAGACTTAGTATGTGGGGGGGGGGGGGGAATGGGCCCCCATTACAAAATTACCTAGGTTAAGTAACTTTTTTAACTCCCCCCTGTGCCCCAACAACTCGACAGCCGCTTCTAATTTTATCCATGAGGATTATGAATTGCCGATTCCACAGGCCATCGTTGGTCTCCCACCGACGACCACGAAAGCCGAAGGCATGCACGAACCGGTAACCACCAACAATAGGTTCGACCTTCAATTTAATCGATTTAGAGTCCAGTTTCTGATTTTCTTCCAACAAACCAACAAGATGTTCAATTAAATTGATTTCTTCTTTTGTTCCTTCTTTTTATGTTCACTCAATCTCTCGTCCTAATCCATTTCCTTGATTTCATCTTGTAAAACAGTAATAACCAAGTAGTTCAATTTGGAGTTCGATTTCAGAAAAACAGGTTTGATTTGTTCTTTTGTTCTTCATTTGTTTTTCCTTTTGTTGTTTATTTGTTGAAACCAAGCACCAAGAATGGGGGTTTGGATTTCCAATCTCTTTGTTTTGCTATTTATTTGTTGTTTTCAATCTCAAACAATCTGGCACATAGATGAATAGATGATGATGCTAAGCAGATGATGATGCTTGGTTTTCAATATAAACTTTTCCTATTGTTAAATGCATTGATGCTTGGTTTAATTTCTTCAATTATTTTGCTAGAAATGGAGAAATTTCTAAAAGGAAAAACTTCAAATGATGACATCTCGCATAACATTCCCAAGGTTATGATTTGTTGGTATTGTATATGTGCTAGGGATATCTTATCTCTAAAATATCTACAATTGATTTCTTATTTGTTGAACACGGATTGAGTATGAAAAGGTTAGAAGCCAACACAAGCAATATGTGTGGTCAGTTCAGTGGTTTGAAAGCTTTAATAATGAGAGCTTGTATGGAACTATGAATCCACATTATTTGTTTTGTGACTTTGATGTATCAAAATTATTGAGGTTATATCCAGATGATTTCAATGATGAGGAAAGAAAGAATCTTGAGCATCAACTTCAGCTCTACAGTAACAATGTCAAACAAGATGAAAGATTTGACAACTTGAAATGTATTTTCCACCTTGGTAGAGTGATGGTTGAAACAAGGAAACATCTTGCGTTTCCTCTCATTGATTATTGAAGCTTGCATTGGTTTTGCCTGTTGCAATCGCAACAGTCGAAAGATATTTTTCTTCAATGAAATTAATGAAGTCATCTTCACACGCTCTAATATGTGATGTTTTTTTGAATGGTTGTGTAATATGTGTCGTAGGAAAATAACTTGCTCCTATTACAAATGAAGATCTAATGACTCATTTTTAAATGATGAAGATTCGTAGAGAGCAGCTATAAAATATAATTACCTCTTTGTTTTTATAATCATATGGTTTTTATCATGTACCCCAGTACATGAATTTCCTAGATCCGCCATTGCCTCTTACAAGGCATATACGGTGTCTTATCTAGTAAGAAACGATTAGCAATCACTAAACAACCATAAAGACTACAAAAAGAAAAAGATCAGTAAATGTGCATGGTGTGTTAGGTGGCAACTTATATAGGAGTCTTTGACAACTCCCACGTGTAGCAATCGTTATATTACAGTCTTTATTAAATATATATTTATTTACAAAACAATTTCACTCGAACTTTGTTTTACACTCTCCCAGACTTAGAGAGTGAGAAAAGTCAAAGATCGCATAAGGAGATCATAACTTAATTTTAATATTATTGGTTATAGTCTATAGTGTTTTTTGTTGGAATTTTTAATGATTGTGTTTACTGTTGTCGGTCAAGACCAATAAGTGCATAGATTTAAGTTCTGATAATAAGCTCGGTTTGGTGTAAATTTAACAACCCATGTTGTGTTTCATTTAGTTGGAGTTGCTTTCTAATTATTTTATGGTTCAATTATTTGTTGTCATTTATATGTGTGTATTATTTATTTTAAATATTTCATCCATTTAAAAAATGAATCACGATTTAATGCATCCAACGCTTTGATTAAATGTGCCAAATGCATTAACACAGTTTTAATGAGTAATGAATTGTAAAACTTTAATCTCAAAAAATACAAAGGAAATGTAGTAACATGGCGTGCATAAATGACTCATTAAACCTTTATTCATTTCCATCCACGTTTGCAATTACCCATAAATGTATCATTTATATATCGTCTTTTATAATTTACTGTAAATTATGGTAATAATTAAAACTCTAAATTTAAAAAGAAAATTTTATCCAACAACTATGTACGTACGTATTAATTGTGTGTTCTTCTCCCATAGTGAATATATCTGTTTGTAAAAAAGATATTAAAGATACGATAACCATACTTATAAAAACAACTTATTTACTTATTTTGATGTGATATCGGTAATATGCACTTTTGAATGTTTAGATAAACAACTTATACCGGTGCCAAACCGGTAATAAGAAATTTTTGAAGAAGTTAAATCATTTTAACTTATAATAAATTGATAAGTGGTTTTATAGAAAATCATAAATTGTTTCAAATAAGCAATCCTACAACATCCCTATACAAAAAATAAAATAAAAACATGGATGGTGTCATTATCAATTTTGGGGTAGGAATGTGTTTTGTAATTTAAAGGTCATTTTCTTCAAGTTGCTGCGTTACATCCAACAATTATAAACATATGGCATTGCATTTTCTTTTTTTTTTTTCTTTTTCTTGGAAGGATAAGAATTCTCCCCACTCCTCCAATAATGAATAAAAATAAAATAAAATAAAATAAAATAAAATATTTGTTTGATCCAAAATAATTAATAGTTATAACTTTTGATACCAAACAAATCCGCATATGGATCCAATATCTTTCCGATGCTTATTGCAAATAATATACAAAAAGAAATGTAACATTTTGATTTGTGAGATTGAATTCGATTCGAAGGAATTTGGATATGAATTTTATTTCAATTCAATGTTTGATTTGAAAGATTTTCTGGGTTTGAAATCTCGTGTAAGATTTTGAAATCGTTTGGTATTGGAAAAATTGCATCAAAATGAAACCAACTTTCACCTAATTCCTATTTTGGAGAACCAACTTCGTCATTTTGAGGAATCAACTTGCACCTGATTCCTATTTTGGGAAATCAATTTGCAAAATAATTATAGAAAAATAACTAAAATTCGTTTTTTTTTCCCAAAAATTAATGCAATAAAATCTATTTTTTCATTTCAAATCTCGTTTTTTAATT